AATTATCATATTTTTCAAAGAGGATTTTTTCCTGTTGGCTGTTTTCCCACCATCACCTCCAGTTCTTGTTTGCTAAACCTTTTTGAACACTTGGTTTGACGTTTTCCCTCCATGGATGATACTGTAAATTGGGCAACATTCATAAAACTTCATGACACCTACATAAGCCTTTCATGACAGCTGACATAAACCCACATAAACATTTACAAAGCCTTGTTTCTATAAGCGCCAGCTGTCTTGAAGGCTGCCTTCGTCAATTCTTTTCAGCTCAGAAAGTGCTGACAGCCGGGTTGTTTGATTAAACATGTGTAAGTGTTTATATGGGTTTATGTCAGTAGTTATGAAAGCATTTAACTAGACATTAACACTTGTGATACTTTACTGCAGGGTGCTGCTCATAAGGCTATACAACACCTACATGAGCCTGTCATGACAACTGACATAAGCCTACATAAATGTTTATTAATGCTTATTCCAATAGGCATAATTCGCTATGAAGGTTACATTTGCCAGTTTTCATCAAAGTAAGCTAAAGTAGTCTTTATGACAGATGACACTTACTGGAATAAGCATTTATAAACATTTATGTAGGTTCATGTCACTTGTCATGACGAGCTTATGTAGGTGTCATGTAGCCTTATGAACAGTACCCTACAGTAAAGTGTTACCACGCTTGTTTGTTTTAAGCTAGCGGTCACAGATCTCAGATTTGCTCCAGCCTGTTCTAAGCCGTCTCGGTCTTTTACATTAACAGAAAAGAACATTTAAAAAATGGTTCGGCGGAAAATTAAACATACACAATTTTTACTTGTTCTTAAACGTGGTCAATCAGCTGAGACAAGTTTGGTGTCCAAATTCTGCTTCTTTACTTCAGCGCTGGAGCTACAAGACTAAAAAACACTAGAAGTCAATAGTCAGCCCAAATCTTTTTCTTGAATACATCCCCACACCTGCTCAACCTGCGTCCAGGTCTTCACTGAGGTGGCGCAGATTTGTCTACAGTGCTGGTTTTAGAGATTTTTAGCAGGAGTGGTAAAAGGGTGGCAGGGAGTTTCGGCAGGGTAACAGTATGAACGCGTGAGCGGCGGGGGACGGTATCAGTTCCGCTGTTCATCGATAGTACTCTCACTAAGAGAAAGTGCGAGAGGAGGCAGAGTGTGAGACGTTTCACTGATCGCCAATTGACACATGCTCACTCTCACTTGAGTGTGTGCGAGGGGGGATGAACGTGCGAGTGAGGGGGTGGAGAGCTGTTCCGTCGGCAGCAAACTCTCCCCTGAAAGCCGCCCCAGAGCGAGGTGGGAGCCAATGACATGGCAGAAATTTTGGGGCGGCATTTGGGGTGACCAATCAGAAGTCAGGGAAAGCCCTGGCAACCCCGGCAACCCCTTTAGATCCATGCACGCTTGTCGATGTGCACACTATGTTCAAGTTTAGTCCCAGTGCTAAACTAAAGAAGCTGAACACCAAACATGTCCTGACTGATTGACTTTTTTTGGGAAAAAGCAGAAAACTGTGTACATCCGATTTTTCTCCGAAGGTGCGGAGGTGCGTTACAAAGACACTCCAGCCCTCTAAGGATTCAGCATTCAGCACTAACTGTGCAAAACATGAGTTAGTTTAGAGGCCGTTCTGACGACGGGGTCACACTTCGCTAGAAAATTTAGTCAAATATAAATATACAGCACTGTGAAAAAGTCAGAGATCGGTCATATGTATATCGTTTCTGTTGGGACAAAAACGTTCATCTCCATTTTTGTTGTTTTTTCATTTTTTGACATAATTTGAAAAAGGCAGCTGCCTTTTAAGTTGTGTCAAAATTTCACGATGAACAGACCAACAAAAATGGTCCAAAATGACTTGGAAAAAATATTTCTCCATTTACTAAACATTACAAACATTTTTCCTTGTCCTGTAAAGTTACCTTTTTGGAGATACAAGCTTTTGTCCCAACAGCAGCGACATATAACTCACAGACCATCCTTCATTTATTAAATTTACAGTCACAACAGACATTTAGTACAAGTTATTCATTTTTCAGTATCAGGAAAAAGCAGGAAACAAAGAAAATGAAGTCTCCAACACTAAATATAACATCAAATCAATATTTAATCCTAAAGCAGTCACTGATGACGCTACAGGTCTGGTTGCTAAGGATGTGTAGCACTCACTGAGAAAAGGAAAGAGGCAGGAGAAACTTAAACTGGACATCTGAGATGTGGAGTAAGGATTTATGAAATTTGTTACAGGATTTATTTGGATGGCGAGAAGCAGAAAATGATAAACCCACTTCTAAGACTGAACTTTGGAGGTGTGTCTGCAGATTCTTTGAGGAACTGAAAGTGAGTCTCCTGAAAAGAATGGAAGCTGGAATAAAGAGTGTGAATAAATACTGAAAAACATTATATTTAGTTGTTGTATAATTTTCTCATACATATACACACCGATCAGGCATAACATCATGACCACCTCCTTGTTTCTACACTCACTGTCCATTTTATCAGCTCCACTTACTATATAGGTGCACTTTGTAGTTCTACAGTTACAGACTGTAGTCCATCTGTTTCTCTGATACTTTGTTAGCCCCCTTTTACCCTCCGGCAGCACTGCTGTTTCTGATCCACTCAGACCAGCACAACACACACTAACACACCACCACCACGTCAGTGTTACTGCAGTGCTGAGAATGATCCACCACCCAAATAGTACCTGCTCTGTGAGGGTCCATGGAGGTCCTGACCACCGAAGAACAGGGTAAAAGGGGGCTAACAAAGTATCAGAGAAACAGATGGACTACAGTCTGTAACTGTAGAACTACAAAGTGCACCTATATAGTAAGTGGAGCTGATAAAATGGACAATGAGTGTAGAAACAAGGAGGTGGTCATGATGTTATGCCTGATCGGTGTATTTGCTCACTCTGAAAAATGAACAGCTTGTACTTTATGTAATAAATAAATGGTCTCTGACTCTCACAGTGCTGTCTGCTCACCAACGATCTCAAAAAATGACACAAAGCTACTGATGAAGTGCAAAAGCACATTCATTCAAAGTGAAATAGTCCTCCAGGAGAAAGCACCGCTGGACAGACTCCAAAAAGTCTTTGTACATTCCTCAGTGTTAAGACTGGTAAAAGCGAGCGGGCGTTCGCCCACCCTCTCGGACATAGTCATAAAAACAAACCCGCTCTGCTGCTCCTCCTCTCACACACAGACACGCAGTTCTGGACAAACCCACTCATTCACTCGTAATCCAGCCTCGCTCAGACACACAGCACCACGACAGAAAAAAAAAAAAACAACGTTGCTCAGACGAGAAAACAAAGCTGTGCTTTGAAGGACGCTATCGACCATCAATGACTCCATTGTTCCCGTGAGAGCGCCACTGTTCTCGAGGAAAGAGAAAGAAAACAAAAATGCTGCATTCCAGAGTGTCCTTAAACAAAGAGGAGGCGCCAAAATGAAGTCACCACCGCAATGAATCTACAAAGACAAGCGTTCATGTTATCATTAACCGGTACACAGGTATGGATACAGCTGCGTGCAAAAGTTCGAACACCCCTGGTCAAATTATTACGGCTGATTTTATGTGGAAAATTGAAACCTTAGTGCAAAATTTCTGAGTTTTTAACAAAAATAATAAAACATAAGGCATAAACTGTGCTGTAACTTTCGCACAGGCCACATTTTATGTCTTATTTCTTCCCCAATGTGTCTTCCCAACATTTTACGTCTTATGCATTTGTTAAATGCAGTGAATAAACAGTAACTGTGCACCAAAATGTGCAGAAGTGTGTTCACTGTAGAGGATGTGTTCACTTATCTTCACTTAGAACATCTACAAAACACGGGGCGCCCAAACTTTTGCATACGACTGTATGTCCAGGCTTAAAGCGATGGTTCTCCCAAAAACAAACTACACATTTACCCCCTTTTCCAAATGCTGTCGGTCAGCCAAGACATGTTTAGTGCTTCTTTAGTGTTGAACTGGAGCTCAGAGGCTAATGTAGCTAACAAACAGTGAAAGCTTATAGGCACCAGTTAGCATCGTGCTAACATGGTAAGACAGCTTAAAGGGCCCATACCACAGAAAAAAGGGCTTTCCTCACTTACTTTGAAATAAACACTAGAAAAGTTTCAGAAGGTATCACTCACTCGCTGTATGAAAATATGCAGCAAAAACAGCCTGCTTTGAACACACCATTTTTGTGATGTCACAAGAACGAGCTCATTTACATATATCAGCCTTAAAGGCACAGTCTGTTTAATTCTGAGGATAGAAAATTGTCATGTAATAACGAACTATGAGCATTTTAAACAAGATACAGGAAGTAGGGCCTTTTAATTTATTCAGTTACTACATATTCAAAGGGCTATTTGTTGGTAATCCATCCCAGACTTAAAGGGCCCACATCATAAAAACTAAACTGTCCATTAAAAGGTTTGATTCTGTATGTAAACATAATTTCCAAATGTCCTGCTCACTCCCCGGTTCTTACAGCCCATATATGGAAAATAAGCTTCTAAAACCCCTTTTGAATTCACTGTTTTTGTGATGTCACAAAGGCTACGTTCACATTACCAGGCTGAAGTGGCACAAATCCGATTTTTCTACCCTAATGGGACTCAGATCTGATGTTTTCAGGGCTGTGTGGACACGCAAATCTGATCTTTTCAAATCCGACCTGAGCCACTTTCATATGTGGGCCTAGATCGGATACGTATCTGATTCGTGGCCATTAATGTGACGCTCAAATCGGAATTCATGTGCTTTTTTTCCACTGTGCCATCATTCAGCGTCACCATGGCAGCAGCGCCGCACAGAAGTTAAAGCCTGTAAACGGTGGAAAAGCAGCTCATCTCACCTTTTTCTCCTTCGTCTCGCTCTAATAATGAAGCTGAGAGTTGATCAGAGTTAATTATCTTCTCAGCGAAGCTCGTTCTGCTCGTTAGTTTGTGCTGATGATGCTCGTGATTCATTCACGTGACGTTACTGAGTAGGATGTGGTCATGTGGGTCATTTCAGGACGCCGGTTCGTCACATTAATGACAGATTTGAATCAGATACCTAAACGAGTGTAAACCATCGTGTCAGAGAGATCGGATTTGAGCAAAAAATCAGATTTGAGCAATGAGGCTTGTAATGTGAGCTACAGACCAAATCATTTATATACATCCCCCTATTCAGTTTAACACCTTCTACTCACATTGAAAGCATAAGAAGTGTTTCAAGAAGGACTGCTTTTTGAATTGAGGCACAGCCAATCAGAACAGAGCTCATTTACATATATACGTCTTAAAGGCACAGTAAGAAAACAGCCTGTTCGATTCTAAGGGATAAAGAGAGGTTGTAAAATGGTTTACAGCTGTTTTTGGCACACAAACTCACACAGATGTTATAAATGGAACCCTGGGGGAAAAATACACAAGAAAAAATAAAGAAGAAAAATGCAGAATTTGGGCCCTTTAAGAAGCAAATCTCTGATATCAAACATGTTTTGGCTGCTCGTCTACATTTGAGTCAAGGGTAAAAGTGTGTGAATTAGGTGTTTTGCTGAACTATCGCTTTAAGGAGTGAGCTTCTCCACTGGAAGTGTCCCCTCAGAGCAGGTCCGCTCAGTCTATTTCAGTCTCCTGTTCCAGGTCAGGGTTCTCCTCTGGGTCTGGCTGAGTAATGTGAGCTGCAGCCTCGCTCTCTGCTTGAGTCTCGGCCTCTTCTCTCAACGTCGACTCCGGCTCCTCAGAATCCACATCTGCTGGTTCAGAACTGGGAGAAGGTTCGTCCTCCTCTGGTATGACTGTAATGTCCTTCCTGTCCTCTACCCCTGCGGTGTTCTCCATGTTGTCCCCCAGGGACTGGCCTGAGCGAGCTGAAGGCTCTTCGGGTTTGGGGTCCTCGTCCTGGGCAGCGCTCGGCGTCTCCTCCTGGACGGAGGACTGCGAGCTGAAGGACCGGAGGCGAGGTGGGTCCGCTGGGGGCAGCAGGGTGAGGGAGTCCACGCTGAGAGTCTCGGCGTCCGCGTCCGACAGCAGGGAGATGGTGGGCTGGGCGGCGGGCGTCAGGCTGGGAGCCAGAGCTGGAGCTGGAGCTAGAACAGGGAGAGCAGAATCGGTCAGAACCACGCGAGAACCCACAGCTTCATCTGTTCACATCAACACAGCAGAGGCAAGCAGTGGGAAGACACTATGTGAGCTAGAGCCGGCATGGACGGAGAGCTAAAGCTCAAAGCACAGCAACTCAATGTTCTCCAACAAACACCAAAGAACCCAAATAATGGGCTGGTGCGCTGAACCTGTGTGTGATTGCTTGAAGTCTCTAGAATGTTCTCCAAATTCATACTTTTCTATAACATCTTCCGTACTCATGCTGCTCTAGAATGTTCTCCTCCTTTCTCGCTGATCTAAATTATTCATGTCCTTCACAGAGTGTGTTCTAGAATGTTCTCCATTCACACTGTTTCAGAATGTTCTCCTCAATCACAGTGTTCCAGAATATTCTCCTCATTCACACTGTTCTATAATTGTCCTCTTTCGTGTCGTTCTAGAATGTTCCCCAATTCACACTGTTCGAGAATGTTCTCTGCATTTGCATCATCTAGAATATGATCCTTATTGGCATTTTTCCAAGTGTTCTCCCTCATTCACACTGTTGTAAAATGTTCTCCTACATTTACACTGTTCCATTATGTTCTCCTACATTCACGTGTCTAGAATGTCCTTCCCCACTCTCACTGTTCTAGAATGTTTCCCCATTCAGACAGTTCTAGAATGCTATCCGCATCACACTATTCTAGAATGTTCTCTCCCTTCACACAGTTCTAGAATGCTCCTCTCTACTCCCTATCCACACGTCATAGAATGTTTCCCTTTCATTACACTGTTCTAGAATGTTCTTCATTCCCATGGTTCTGAAACTTTACCCCCCCCCCTCCCTTAAACTGGTCTAAAATGTTCTCCTCCATCTACACTGTGCTAGAAAGCTCTCCCAATTCACACAGTTCTATAATGTTCTCCTTCATTCACACTGCTTTAGAACATGTTTTTGACACAATTTGACAGATGTGAGAATATCCTTCTAAAATGGTCTCCATACACGCTGTGCTAGAATGTTCTCCCCAATGCACACTGGTCTCAAACACTTCCTCCCTTTCTGACTGTTCTGAAATGTTATCTCCCCTCTCAAACTGTTCTAGAACGTTCTCCCCTCATTAACCCTGGTTCATTTGGCCTGTGACAGTACGTAGTTCAGAGCACACCAACCAAACAGTCTCCAAACGCCAGTTCTCAACTGTTTGCAGTCGTCTTTAGAATGTAAGAACAGACCCAAAAAAACAGAACAAATGGGTGGAGAACATCCGAGAAACTCAAACTCACACAAGTATGACACACCAGCCAGACATGTATGTTTGTTGGTGTTTGTTCTCTGTGCTCTGGCTTTACGGTTTTAGAGCAGTGGTTCTCCAGTACTGGGGATCCTATATTGTGCAGATTTCAATGTTTTCCCTTATCTAGAACGCCTAATTCAGCTGATTAAGTAAGTAAAAAAGCTGCGCATCTGCAGGGTGAGGCGTTGGCTTATCTGCTGGGTGAGGCGTGTTAGAACAGAGGAAATCCAAAAACGTTCTAGTCTCAGGATTCAAAGGGACTGAGGAAGACTTTAGGGACGCAGAGCCGGTCATAAAAACACTGCGGTATTTTGCACTTGTGTGAATGTGACTCACAAACTCCTGGCAGAGAACCTCCCGCAGGAGGAGACGGCAATTACTGCTCTAAAAAGCGCAATGGGGTGCGAGGAGAGAGACCAGAGACTGAGTGAAGGGAGTAAACAGAGGAAATGCTTGATTATCCTGAAAAACTGCTGTTTTGTGGATGTAGATAGTGATATAACAAAATGAGCTGCTTATCTTTAACGTTTTATATCGGATGTCCACTTTTCCAGGAGCCACGATGTGGCTAATATAAAAAACCAAGGGATTTGATGATGATTATCTTTCAAAGAACTCTTTGCATCATAAAAGAGTTCTCTGTATTGTGAAAGCGTTCTTCAGATTGATGGAGAATGTGATCAGGGTTTCTCAACCACTGGGCCGTGGGCCACAAGTGGGCCGCAAAGCACCCATTGGTGGTCCTTGGGCCAATACTGAGGGATTTCAGATGGTAAAATCCTGCAAAAAGGGCGCACAAAGGCAGCTTCATCAGATTTTTGCTCACTGCCTCTAGAAACAAAACACACTCCCCCTCACATTCCACTCAATCTACCATTATTCTGCCTGATTTCTGGTATAAAACAAGCTTATGTTAGTCTAATCTGTTTATCTTTTACGTTTACTGAGATGAGTCATGTATTGCAAGGTTTGGGTCCAAACATAACTGCTGAAAATTTCCGGAAATTATATTTATGTGCAGAAAAGTTGAGTTTTGTTTTCCTTTGGGACTTCATGCTTTCCAGTAATATATATATATAGAAAAAGGGTTCTATATAGCACGAAAAAGGGTTCTTCTATTGTTACGATGTCAGGCTTGCCACAACAGAAGAACCCTTTTTCGTGCTATATAGAACCATATACTCTCCATCAATCTGAGAAACCCCTTAAAGATGCAAAGAACCCTTTAATCTTGCAAAGGGTTCTTTGAGTGTTCATGGTTCTATATAGAACCATTTTCTTTACTAAAGAACCTTTAAAGAACCTTTTTAAGTGTGTAGGATGCTGGAGAAGGTAGAGTAGTATGAAATACTGTGAAAATATGTAATAATACATGAAATCAACTTTTACCTGTACATTTTTTTTTTAATTTAATAACAGAAAACTACGTTACCTAAATGGCAATTTAGACACCTATACTCTTAAAAATGATGGTTTTTAAGGGTTCTTTAGAAAAGAAAATGGTAAGCATAACCACTCAAAGAACCCTTTGCATCATTAAAGAGTTCTTTGCATTATTAAAGGGTTCTTCAGATTATATATATATATTGCTGCTGTCAGAAGAAAACCTTGTATTTTCAAAATGGTAACTTTACAGGAGAAGGAAAAAACCTACTTTACTTTTAATGTAAGTCAATGGAACCAGAATTTTTTCAAAGAAGTTCTGGGTCGTTTCTTTTAGTCCATTCATCATGGAATTCACAGGCAACATAAAGAGCAACAAGCATTTTCAAATTATGTCTGAAAAATGATAAAAATGGAGATACGAGGTTTTGTTCTGACAGCAGCGATATATTCTATTGTTATTCTACAGACATCGTAATAGAAGAACTCTTTCTGGTGCTATATAGAACCGCAGCACATACTCCAACAATTTGAAGAACAATGCAAAGATCTCTTTAATAATGCAAAGGGATCTTTGAGTGTTCACGGTTCTGTACCATTGTCTTTACTAAAGAACCCTTTGAAGAACAACGTTTTAAAAGTGTAGGTATTCTTGTTGATGTGAAACAAAAATTACTGATAGAAATTTCTATTGTTTTTACCAGAACACTGAGCTGAAGCTGAGCAACGTAGCACAAATTTAGTCTTACTGTAAATCTAAACTGTGCTGCTTTCCTGCTCATTCAAATTTATTTCACAAACTTTGGACATTGCTGTGGGTTCAATGGGGCAGAAACCCATGAAAATGATCTGTGACGGTGGCTCTGCTAAACGCTATTAAGATAGAAACATTTCTTTGCAGTGCAGCTAAATGTTAGACTGCTCGGCTATAGTTTGTAGCCAGGGGTGCAGATTTGGTCTGAGAAGTGGGAGGGGGGGAACATCAGAAGGCAGTTACACCCAACATACTGATATCCTGCTTTATCTGTTAATATTAAAACATAAAAACAAAGAAAATTATTAATAGGAATGTCATGCACACTCAATACTGATGTTCAGCGCTGAATGATCTGGGGGAAAATCTTACTGTGATTTTCTATAAATTATTCCCAGGCCTGTTTTTTGGCGAAGAAGAGCAGAAAATCCACTGTTACTGGCATGAAGCTTAAATGCCGAGTCCAGGCTAACAGTTATTTGTGATGTCACATATACAGCAATTGTTTCTGATTGGTCTAACTCAGGGGTTCTCAGCCTTTTCCACCCCAAGGCCCAAAAAAAAACTAAACACTGTGTCCACTCACTGTCCACTCTATTAGACACTCCTACCTTGTCCGTCCACCTTGTAGATGTAAAGTCAGAGACGATAGCTCATCTGCTGCTGCACAGTTTGTGTTGGTCATCCTCTAGTCCTTCATCAGTGGTCACAGGACGCTGCCCACAGGATCCTGTTGGCTGGATATTTTTGGTTGGTGGACTATTCTCAGTCCAGCAGTGACACTGAGGTGTTTAAAAACTCCAGCAGCACTCCTGTGTCTGATCCACTCATACCAGCGCAACACACACTAACACACCACCACCACGCCAGTGTTACTGCAGTGCTGAGAATGATCCACCACCCAAATAAACCATGGGGGTCCTGACCACTGAAGAACAGGGTAAAAGGGGGCTAACAAAGTATCAGAGAAACAGATGGACTACAGTCTGTAACTGTAGAACTACAAAGTGCACCTATATAGTAAGTGGAGCTGATAAAATGGACAATGAGCGTAGAAACAAGGAGGTGGTCAGAATGTTATGCCTGATCGGTGTGTATATTATAGCAAAACACTCCATTAATAGTAAGTATGATGGTAATTAATAAGGAAAAGAAGGGACTGTTAATAACTGTTAATGCAACAAACAATCAGTAAAGTAGTTTTGGGAAAGATTCCAGGGCAGATTAGAGCTTCTTCCTTTGTTACCGCTCTTCACTTTAATTAAACAAAGCAACAATTTTGTTTGTGTGTGTAACTGACAGCTACCCTACACTTTTAAAAAAGACAGTGCTTCAAGGGTTCTTTACTAAAGAAAATGTTTCTATATAGAACCACAAACTCAAAGAACCCTTTGCATGATTTAAGGATTCTCTGCATGGTAAAATGTTCTTCATATTGACGGAAAATGTGCTGTAGATGGTTCAGTGTAGAAACTTTTGAAAATAGTTCTATATAGCACCCAAAAGGGTTCTATTGTTACGGTGTCAAGCTTGTAACAATAGAAGAATCCTTGTGGGTGCTATATAC